AGAGAAGAAAAGGAAGTTTGTAGAGATTACACATAGCCTGTCTTCCCCAACTTCCACAGTGAGGGCTGGCGTTCAAAAATGAAATTTAGTGAGGCACAGTGCGCACACCTACAGTTCCAGCTCTGTAGGAGGCTGAGACAGGAGGATTGCAAGTTCGAACTCAGTCTTGGTTGACTTAAAAAGACCTCTCTCAAAACATTTAAATTAAAAAAAAAAATATTTGGGGGGTTGGAGAGATGGCTCAGTAGACAGGCAAGGGCCTGAGTTCAATCCCTGGTTCCACCAAAAAAATGAATAATGAAATAAAATATTTGAAGAAGGATTAGGGTTGTAGCCTATTGTGAAGAACCTGGTTTCAACCATCCCACTCATAATAGGTAACCACTCCAGGGCCCTGAAATTGGCATGGATATAACCCAGAAAGGCAGCCGTGGCACCTAGCAGCTGAGGCTGGGAGAGCTGGGGGATCCCTGAGCCCTGAGGCTGTTGCTTTTTCTAAAAAGTTCATTGTAATTTCTGTGATTCCTCTCCTTCTTTCCTTCCTTCCTTTTTTCCTTTTTGTGGTACTAGGGATCGAACTCAGGGCCTTGTGCTTGACTGGCAAGCACTTATTCCACTGAGCTATCTCCCTGGCCCCCTCTCCTTTAATTTTGGTAGAAATACAATATTTTAAGTAAGTTAATAGGGCCAGCCAGGTAGCTCAGTAGATTAAAGCACCTGCTTAGGCAGATGCAGGGGCCGGGGGTTCAATCCCGATCCCGTATCCCAGGCATGCCATGCCAGCCCTGCCCCTGGGAAGTGCTGAGATGGCAATTGAGACTAGGCGTGGTAATGCACACCTGTAATCCCAATGCTTGGGAGGCTGTAAACAGGAGGATCACTACAACTCCGACCCGTGTAGTGAGACCCTGTAGATCCTGTACTAAACACATAAAAAATATATATATATATAAGAATAAGTAAATTAATTAAAAATGAAGTTAAACAGTCTGTAACTTTCTATTCTCTGTATCTTCACTTATTTATTTTGGTCTTTGGAGAAAGGGTCTTGTTGTGTAGGTAACCCAGGCTGCTCTCCAACTTGTGGCAACCCACCTGCCTCGCATCCTGCGTGCTCGGACCTGCCATGCTCCACGCCTGGCCTGTGCTCCGTAGTTTCAGACTTGATGAGGGCAGACTGTGTCTCTGCTGTAGTCTCCACACCCAGGCTGGGCCCTGCCCGCGGCATCAGCAGAGTGCAGACCAGGACAGCGCCCGGGTGCCCCAGAGGTATTTAGCTGTGTTCTCAGCTGTCAGACTCAAGGTGCCCGACACCCCCACCCTGCCACTGCTGCAGCCCGCTGTGTCCTGTTGTGACCCCAGTGCTGCTGACTGTTCACCCGGCCCCCGGCTCTTGGAAAGCACCAAGCATAGCCAGGTGCTGTCTCCCCTCATTTCCAGTGCTCGTGGCTCCATAGTGGTGAATGTGCAAGCTAGGAAACAGTATTGGGAGCTTTCGTGTCAGTTGTAATCAATGATTAGAGCCAAAACTCATGCAGTAGGTTCTTTCTAGAGAGAGGAAGTTGCAACAGGGTCTTACTGTGTAGTTCAGCCTGACCTTGAACGCATGGCAATCCTCCTGCCTCAGCCTCCAGGATGTTGGGATTACAGGGGTGCACCACGACACCTGGCTAAAAGATGAGCATTTCTTCTGGGGTAGAATGAAATGCAGGCAGACCCTGGGAAGCTCAGCTGCCCTGCCTATCCTGTTGTTAGTCTGCTGCTGTGAATGGTGGGCATTTCATGGCTGTCACCACTCCTTGTTGACAGGCTGCCTGGAAGGGAAGTCTGCCATTCTCCAACCTCCATCCTCCCACATTGCATCCCTGTTCACCTGGGCCAGGTGTGTCCTGCAGGAGCAGGGGCTCAGCCGCCAGACAGAAACCTGTCCCTGTCCCTGCTTCCTCCTGGGACACAGCCCTGGGGCGAAGGAGCCCTGCCTGTGCCCAGACGAAGCTGGCCCTTTCTCAGCTACTGTGGGTACCAGAGTCCTGAATCCTGCTACAGTCCTGTGAGGAACTTTGCATCCGTAAAGCCTTGCCACGGGCTAGCCACTGGTTATAGAGATGAGGGGCCTGGGGGAGTTGCCGTGGGCTTTTCAGTTCCCCTGGGTGCTGCAGCCTGGAGGCCAAGTGAAAACAAGCACAGAAGGACACAGAGCTGGTCCTGTGGCCTGTGAATGGCCTGGTTCTCTCCCACTGGGAAGCCCACTTGGCCCAGCAAGGCCCAGCAGGATCTGGGCCCCTTCTCCCAGCAGCGGGCTGGCGTGGCTGTTGGTTTGGGCGGCTCATTTCCTTCCCACCTTCTTCCCTTTGCTGTTTGTTCTGAAAGTTGCCACATCCTGAGGCGATGCATGGCCCTGGGTAGCAGCAGCCAGACCCTAACCTTGAGCAAGTCTGGGGCCCGGCCCAAGAGTCCGTGAAGACCCTGTCAGACCCTGCCCACCGGCAAGCCCCAGGCACCGTGTGTCCCAGCTACAGCAGAGGTGACATCATTTTATCCTTAGATATTTAGGGCTGCATCCCAGAGGGTGCTACCAGCATGGGCGAGTGGGGAGGCCTTGGGGAGGACCCAGCTGCCACTGATCCAGCCCTGAGGTAGCGGAGGCCCGGTGGCTGTCCTAGTCCCATCCTGCTCTGTGGGAATCGGGAGGTGCAGCAGGTCACAGAATCACTGGCTTCTGGCTTCTGCATTCACAGCTGGTTGCATCTGGGCCCACACTCCCAAAAGCAGCATCACTGTCTGGAAGCTGGGCCCCAGCTGTCCTAGGGGCGCTGCCGTGTGAGCGTCGTCCCTGCCAGCAGTGACCCGAGCTAGCCGAGTGCAGGGAGCAGAAGCGCCACCTGCGGAGTCTGCTCTGGTTGGAGGGTCCCATTCATCCCTGGAGCTGGTGGCAGATGGTACAGAGCTCGTCCTCATCTGTCCCGTTCCTCTTCCCACCCCTTCTCCTTCCCACCCCCATCACGCTGTCCCCTTCCCATCCTGTTTCCTATTATCTAGCTTTCGTTTAGCTACTATACATTGTATTTCTCATGTAAGAGAAACCATGTGATCTTTAGGCTTGTGTGTGATTACTCCTCTTACCCTGACGTCCTCCCTCTGATGACTCAAATGCATCCTCCTTGGTGGTGGAACAGTGCCTTCCTAAGGCTCCCAGCGTTGGCCTCATGCCTGCCACCTTCTGGCGCGGGAAGTGGTTCCTGGAAGGCTCTGCGTGCTGCACCCTGGGCCCCTGACCCGTGGTGGGCCTGCACCTCCAGCGCTCTGGGCACTGAGTGCTGCACTTTGTGTGCAGTTAAGGCTTCTTCCTGTCTGACACCTGTCTGGTGCTATCGCCACAGTCACCGTCTGGTCACTGTCCCATAGGCCTGCTGTTCTTGGCTATGTTCCTGACCAGAATGAGCCGTGTTGTGGTTTTGCGGGGCATCCCAGGCAGTGCCTCCCCAGCAGGGTTTGGTGTGGCCACCCCTGTTGTCAGGCCAACTCCAGGAAGCGCGCTCAGGGCCACCACTTCCTGTTTCGGAGGGCTTGGTCTCCATACGAGAGGCAGGAGTCACAGGAGACTCAAGTGGTGCGTCCTGTGGGGGTTCTGAGCCCCCCCCCCCGAGCCACCCTGAACCACAGGCTGGCTGCTCTTTGGGTGGCGGCGGCCTGGTCACTCTCAGTGGGCTGGCTGCTGGCGTCAGACCAGACAGCTTCCTGCATGTGGGCTCCACACCAGCCCACGCAGTGCCTGCTTTCCATGCTGCTGTCCATCCGGGCTCCCCTGATGCTGCAAAGTGCACTTCGCTGCCATCATGGGACTCCTGGAGGCTGCGCAGCCCCCTTGCAGGTCTCCCCCACCAGACAGTTTGCTTTGTCAGGGCCAGCAAGAGACTCGGCCCACTGGAGCCTCTCTGCCCTCACCTGACGAGGCCAGGCCCACCAGGCATGAGCCAGATGCCAGGAGTTGGTGTCAGCTACCCACAGTCACACCCACCTTACTTAAAGAGGCTGGACAAGGCATAGACGCCAGGGGCAGGAATCTCAGGGACGCTTATAGATTCTGTCAGCTATGCCCTCTCCCTCCGCCCTCTGCAGCCCCACCCCACTCCTTCCCCATCTACACCAACCACTGAGTGGAGGCTGCTGCTCCTACTCTGCAGGTTCCAGAGAGACCTGAGCTCCTTGCAGTTCTTGCTCAAACGCCTGTTCCTGTCTAGCACTTTGGCTGGTGACATCACGGTACTTGTGTTCTCGTCACTGACCCTTGCTCCCTGCTGTCTCACAGGTCTTGGCCGCAGCTCTGGGTCGGAGGAGCCGTGTGCCTTCTATGCCCAGGGCTGGGCAGGCAGCGGTGCTCCGCGTGAATTAGCCTCTTCACTGGCCCACACTGGGCATGGGGGTGTCAAGTGTGCTTCCTCCCCTCCCCAACTGTGGCCCTTTTCAGGGTATAACTGGTCTAGAAAGCCACAGCAGCGGAGCACGTTGTAGGCCCAGTCTGTCCAGCACTCAGCAAGCACGCCCCATGACAGGCCAGCTGCAGCCACTGCTCACCGTGTAGCAGAACTTAGAGAAGATGAATTTGTAGTATTGGGCTAAGGCAGAAGGAGCACAAGTTCTGGCCCAACCTGGACTTCGTAGGACCCTGTCTCAAAATAATGAATAAATGGGGCTGGGAACGTAGCTCACCGTGAAGGCCCTGGTCAATCCCTAATACTGAAAAAATAAACAACTCATGAAGTGTTTTTCTCTGGAATTTTCCATGTAATTTCTCTCAGATCTCCTTGGGCCCCAGGTACATGCAGCCCTGGGAGAAGCCAGGCTGGGGGCTTCTATACTCTAATCACTACTGGTTCCCTTCCTGGTGACCCTGTCGACTCTTTGAGCCTGTGACTCATCACTGGGTTTATTAAACTCTGAACAGGACTTTCTCCCCAGCTTGTGCGCCTGTCCCTAATCAGATTTCCGGTCTGTTGCAGGCGGAGGCCCGGCTTGCAGCGAAGCGAGCAGCCCGCGCCGAGGCCCGAGAGATCCGCATGAAGGAGCTGGAGCGGCAACAGAAGGAGGTAATGCTGGGGTCTTGGCTGCCTCCCTGAGAGGTGGTTTTAATTTTAGGCACAGCCTTGCCTGCAAGTGCACAGGCACCTGTTGGCACCAGCACACCTGTCCTAGTCACTTTGCCGGGGCTGGAATGCGCTTGCAATTGGGCTGATGCCGAGGTCAGGCCAGGGGTGCACATAGCTGGGATGCCAGGCCTGCCACCCCCTCAGGCACTGGGAGGCCTCCCTGGGCCTGCTGTACCAGGGGTGAGGAGCCTGAGGGGCGGAGCCTGAACTTCAAGGTCTCACTGTTGAACCCCGACTAACCAGATCCTCTGAATTAAGAGGGGCAAGAACAGATTACTGTTTGCTAGGAGGGGCCCCCACTTGTTGGTTTAGCCTTATTTCTGCAGAGATTTCTACATGTTGGACAGTGCCCAGAGTCCCCAGTGGACTTGCCGGACAAACAGGAGCCTGGAGAACCACACACCTCTTCCTGCCCCTTCTGCCTAGTGCAGGGCCTGAAGGGGGCGGAGAGTTGGTTCTGAGGGCTGTGGGGCTCTGGTGCTTACCTTGGGGTGCTGAGCTTTGCTGTGTCCTGGTGGACAGCGAGGTGGGTGGCCCCTCACTCCTGAGCTTGCTGGGACCAGGACCTGCTTGGGCCCCTTGCCCAAGGGTCCTTCCTGTAGAATCCGAGTGTCCTGCGGCAGAGGGAGCCGGCTGCTTCCGGCTGCTCTGCACACCAGGTTGTAGTTCCGCTTACTTCTGAGGATTAATGGCAGTGTTTCTTACTGAAACAATTTTTTTAAATTGAGTTTTATCTTTGCTTGTGGGTGGAACTGATTGACATGGACACTGGAAAAGTCCTGTGCTGAATGCTCTTGATGACAGGTGGGGCCGGCAGCTCAGCAGGGAACATCATCCTTGTCCCTCCCCAGGGGGAGCATGCTTTAACTTGGAAACTAAGTATCTCCTGATGCCAGGCTTGAGGTGCCGTCCCATCTGCCAGACCTAAGCAGCCACCCACCTGGCTGCGCCAGTGGGACTCGATTTTGAGGTATCCAGTCTGTGCATGGGAGTCTGGGGAGCCGAGGAGAGGTGGCTGACAGCGGAGCGCCTCTGTTTGCCTGGCTCACCTTCTCAGCCCTGCTATTCTTAGAGCAGGCCGAAGAGTTTGAGCGTGTACCACCTGATAGCCTGTGGCACTGGCATTTTAAGTTGTTGATTAAGGGGAAATGAATATCCTTGGAGGACTTGTGCTTATTCGAGGGTGGGTGTTCGGGGATAAAAATTGAGCTTCAGTCCCTGGTTGCATCTGCACACAGGTGCTGCCCAGGGGCCTACGAGGCCCCAGGGTGATCTGAGGACACCCAGAGGAATGGAGGAAGCTGCCAGCCAGCGGGTGGCAGGGTTGACATCCCCCAGTGAGAGCATGCACAGTGGACAGGAGTGCTGTACCTCGAGCGGCTGTCAGTTACACGCTGTCTGCGCTGCAGGAGCAGCAGGACTCTGGTGGCTTCATGAAGATGTGCCCCTGTTTCAGGGTGTCTAAAACAGTATAATATGAGGGAAGAAATAACCAGTTCTTTCAGTAGGACTTCAAGCATTCTGATTAATTTTTTTATTGGTTCTCTTTTTTTCTCAATGTGGCTTTTAATTCGTTTCTGGCACTTACAAGCCTTTCTGATGTTCCTGCTACTTTAATCTGATTTCTGTTTCTCTCCCTTTTCCATGTCCCTCTCCCCGTAGATCTATCAGGTTCAAAAGGTAGGCTTTCTCCTTCACTTTCTAACGTGCATGGCCCTGTCCCCTACCCCCAAGAGCCTGGGCACAAGACGCGCGGAAGTGCTCGCTGCCTCTCACTGCACTGTCACAAGTTGTCCGAGAAGGCCCCAGCCCCCACGTCCACCCAGGGAAGGGAACGGTCACACTTATTTGACTTTCATCCCCATTTTCCATTTTCCTTAAAATATGAGAAAATAGTCTGAAAAAGAATTCTTAAGACAAAATCACATTTAGAATTCAAGGAACCTTTGGAAATTATATACTGAATGACAAAGATGATCTTTCTTGGTACCTTGCTAGAAAACCCTAAATTATCCCATGTTCAGAGATGATCAGATATTGGTTTGAAAAGCTAGGTAAAAAAGAAAGTGAAGATGTAGTAATCAGATCTGCCCGTTGAGAATGCAGCTGCTCTGCACTGCCAGCGTTCAGGGTGTCGGGAGGTAACGGTCTGTCTCCCTCATTAGGGGCTCCCCTCTGGTTAGAAGTGAGCTCCAGAGCAGGCGGGGCATGCAGGTTTCCAAGACAACCAGGTCTGGGATTTGGGGCTCCGCAATAATGAAGTGGGGAAATACCGTCAGCTTTCTGAGGTTTTAGGAAGTGGGGTACGTAGTGTCAAAGAACAACCCTGTTTTTCTCCTAAAGCACAGAAGCCAGTCCCTGAGTCTCAGGATAGGGGAGCAGGCTCTGGACTTCAGTGAGTGTGGTTGCCACGCCCCATTACTGTTCCGATCGGGATAGGACCTTGGTTTGGCAGACACAGCCCCATCTGCACTGCTAGTTTCTAGGACCCAAGTCCTGGGTCAATACTGAGTTCTGAGTCATCCCTGGAGTCCAGGAAGAACTGGCCAGGTTCAAGGTTACCTGGGGTGCCCAGGACATTGCTGTCCCAAGTGCTAGAAGGGCTCGAGCTGGTCATTTCCGATGGCATCCATTCCTGTCCTGTTCCCGATTCTTGTCAGGTTTCTTGTTTTTGTTTTTGGGGACAGTGGCAAGGACTTTGTCAGGATATGACCTCCAGCAGCAAGCAGCTGTGAGTCCCGGAGTCCACGGCACAGGGCCTCTAGAGTCACACCATACCACTCAAGCCAGGCTGTCTGTAGCCCTCCCTTGACAGAAGAGGGAGGCAGGCGGCCCTCTCCGCTCGTGGGCGCCAGGCTGGTGCCTTCTCGTGTGTCTGGGCTGCTTCTGAACGCCAGGCGCCTTCTGCACAGGCCTGCATCCTGCTCCACTGCATGACTCACCGCTGAGCACCCTCGTCACCCTCTGCTTGCCCTAGAGTAGGCTGCGCTGGGGCTGCTGCTCCCCTGCAGCCACCCTCAATGGCTCTTGCTGTCCCTAGGGTGTCCTCCCCACAGGGTGACATGGGGTCTGTCCCGAGTCAGAGCCATCCATGCCAAGTGAAAGATTTGGAGGATGCGTGGTGTTTGATGTGGGGACAGAATGGGGCCAAATGAAGTACAAAAAATAGAAAAACCTAGACTTCTGTGAGAATTTTGTAACTTACAGGTTTATATAGCGCTTCCTCTTGCTAATGTATATTTTCCTTCTGTCTTTGGAATTAAAAAGGAGATTGAGTTACATGAGGACACTGTTCTCCACTGGAAATGCTGGAAGTTGAGGAGGGGCAGGGCTGGCATTAAGTGGATGTGAGTGGCTCTGAGTTGGTGCACTTGGCGAGGCTGAAGTGGAGCAGGCGCGGGGAAGCTGTTTGCTTCTTGTTTCCTTTCCAGAGTTACGATCTAAGGAAGACAGGGCTCCTGTGACTCTTGGTATTAGCTTGGTAACGTTAGCTTTTAGAAACATTGCGGAATTCTTGCCCCAAATTTTCTCCTCCATTTTCTACTTTCTGCCACTTCCAAGAACAAAATAGGAGACCACAGAGAGCTGCACATTTTAAATCTGGCTGTGGCATGTTTTAGTAATGACCACCATTTCAGACGTGAGCTGGTAGGTCCGGCATCCAGCTTTTCCTCCTCACTGTGAGACTGTCCCAGACAAAGACAGAAATGGCAGCTCTGGCGCAGCCTGCTGAGCTTGCCAAGCTGTTCCTTCGTTTCTCTGTTGGAAGTAGGAGGCAAAGGAGGAAGAAAGGCAAAGCCCTGCTGTCCCAGGCTCCAGCCACGTCACCCCCTGATGCTGGGGCACTGTGCTTGGTGACAGTGACAGCCACACTGGGCCTGGCCCCCACAGTTGGACTTGACTACCAGGGTCTATATTAGCAAGGTGAAGACAGTGCTGTGGGCAGTGGCCAGCCCAGGTGGCACCACACTTGGCACAAACTCTTGGGCCTGCCTGCCTTCACCTTGGGCTTGGGGACAGCACAGGGTGTCCCCTCCACTGGCTTTCTCCTTGCTGGCTCTCAGCTTTGCTTCTTCTAACCCTGGGGCAGAGCAGCTTTGTGAGGGCTGCCTGGGAGTGCTCTGTCTAGGGCCCCCTGGCGTGCGGGGGGGGGGGTCCCCTGCAGGTGATGCCTTGCGCCCTGTGCTGTGCGCTTTGCCTGGCTGACCTTCACGGGAACTTTGGCGTGTGCATGTCAGAATTGCCCTCACTGTTTTACTTTCTGCCTAATTCTCTTTCCCTTCTTTCTTAGAAATATTATGGGCTGGACACTAAGTGGGGTGACATCGAGCGGTGGATGGTAGGCCTTGATACAATTTGAAGACATAAAATGTTTTATAATTTGATTCTTAGCAGGGTAACCATGTAGATAGAGCCCATTGCATGGTAATTTGATACCGAGAGGTCTGCTTCCGGCCTGGCCCCGTCTGGTTCTGGCTGTTTACATCTCCCACTGCAGCCTGCTTAGAAACTCCACAGCCTGGCTACCCGCCTGCTGTCCTCTGTGGGGATGGTTGGCAGCTCGTGGGGCTGCCGCACAGCAGCATCCCCCACTTCCTGGGGCCAGGACCCTGTGCTAGGGACGCAGGCTAGATCTGTACCCCCAAATGAGCAGTGCCTGTGGCCATCACATTGGCTGTGCTCCAGTTGGCCTCAGGTTGCATTCCTTTGGGGTTGCAGCAGACTTCTGTGCACCCCGCAGTTGAGTCCTCTCATCCCATTGGGTGAGATGTCCTCTGTCTTTCCTACGTATTCCATGTGACGGCCCATATTGATCCCTCTGCCTGCTGGGACAGGCTGGCACGGGTCACCCCAATGGCCTTCAACCCTCCCATAAGGAGACCTCACCTTGGGGTGCTCTTACGGTCCCATGGGTCCCCAAAGTCAGGCTTTGCTCCTTATTACCCACTCCTTCCTGCCCTGGCTGCTGGACCCACTGGCCATAATGCCCTCCTGGAGTCCTGGCATCTGAGAACCTGGCCAGGACAGTGCGCCCTGCCCTGGGTCCCTGAGCACAGATGACCTCCACAGATGGAGCTGTGGTTTCCAGGACCCATGTGCAGTGTAGAAGACAGGGCACGTCCCCTGTTGGCCACTATCTTGGCTTCCCCGACTCAGGGAGAAGTTTGCTAATGCTGACACAGCCCTGCCGTGCACGCTAACGCTGTCCTGCTCTCCCTCCCCGCCACGGTAGGAGGACAGCGAGCGCTACTCGCGCAGATCTCGGAGACTTGCCTCGGTTAGTACCATGCTCCTCATTTCCTGGGTGGAGAGTGTGTTTGGGAAGTGCGTGGCATTTTAGTGCCTTTTGCTGTTGATGTCCTTGGGTGATTTACATGGTGATATACCCAGAAGCTCGTATGTAACTTACTAAGTTACCTGTGATGAAAATATGAGCCCTGAAAGACGACAGATTAAATCCATGTTGTCCATAAGTGCTGAGCCAGTCAGGGCCTGTGCCACCGAGGGCCTGGGCCCACGGCCAGAAGCTCATCTGGAGCCACCCACCGGGACAGCTATGTCCCCTGGGTGGCCGGGCCTTTGCTCCTGCTTTCAGGCCCTGCGGTCACTTCACAGCTCTTCTCCTTTCTCTCACAGGCCTCAGACGAAGACGAGCGCCTGTCAGTGGGTAGCAGAGGCAGCCTGCGGGTCAGTACTGGGCCAGGGCTGCATGCACAGCACGTGGCCAAGCCCCACCCTCCCGCCCCGCCCCTCCCTGATCCCTGGGGTCTGGCAGTCTAACTGAGGAGGTGCTTGCTTAGAATCAAAACGGTGGGGCCCCTTTGTGTCATGGGCAGGGCCCCTCAGGCGCATAGACGCTTCGGTCTGCACCCTCCCCAGGGTAGACACCATTGTTTCTAGTATTCTACATCACAAAGCCCTGCACCTGAGGAATAGTTATCTCAGATTATTGAGAAGGCACATGCCCATCTTCAGCCAGGCTGTGTGCTTTGTGCTTAGTGCCCACTCATGCATCCCTGATGAAAGTGTGGTCTCAGTTGCCAGGCCTGGTGGTGCACACCTGCCGGCCAGCATTTGGGAGGCGGAGGCAGCAGGATGGCATGGAGTTCGAGGCCAGCCTGGCTGACATAGTGAGTTCAGTTCGAGGCCAACTTGAACAACAGAGTGAGTGAGACCCTGACTCAGAAACAAAACAAAGCAAAATTGGAGTCTCCTTTTCCATAGCTGTAAGTTCATTATGACTTGGTGATGACTTTGCCCAGTAGCTGGAGGCTGCCAAGGGAAAGAAGGCTGGACCTGAGTCTACCTCTGGAGCCTCTGTCCTTTCATTAACAACAGGAAACCTCTCCAGCACTGGCAATTTAACGACTAAGTATTTATTTACACATATATTTGTTTATATATGTATGTATTTAGTACAGGGTCTACAGGGTCTCACTTCATAGATCAGACTCGTAATGATTCTCCTGTTTTCAGCCTCCCGAGCGCTGGGATTACAGGTGCGCGCTTCCATGCCTAGCCTCAGTTGACATCTCAGCACCCCAGGTGCAGGGCTGGCTCCGCATGCCGGCAAGGATCAAACCCGTCACTCTGCTCTGCCTGAGCAGGCACTTTAGTCCGCTGAGCTATTTGGCTGGCCCCCTACACACACATTTATGTCAGTGTGTTTTCCTTAAACATTTAGGAAACTTTCATCATCGTGCTTGGATAGAGTGCGTAATCTGTGAGGAGAGGAGCCGTGTTCTGAGTTGCTTTGACTTAGCCTGAGCGTATCAGCCCCATTTCCTGCAAGGCCCCAGTTCTGGCTCCCGCTGGTCCTAACAGGGCCTCAGAGCAGCCACGAGCGAGCTGCACAGACCTGAGGGCTCATTCTCACCACTGTGCCAGTGAGGTCGTAATTCTGCACCCCGATTACTGTGCACAAAGTGTGCATTTTATTTGACAGACTGCTGTAGGGAGCATTGTCCCAGAGCTGCGAGCCACTCTGGTGGGGTCTGCGTAGCACTGGCTTTGTGGGACAGTTCCAATTCCCATGGGCCAGGGTAGAGTGGTACCTTGCTATCTGGAACCTTCTCCATTGGGCCTATGCTCAGTGACCCAGCTGTGACTTCTGCAAGGTCCCTGTGACACAGCCCACTCTAGAGGAAGGAAATGCCATAAATTCAAAGCTCGTTTTGTGAAGGCTGGGGGCCAGGGCACTGATGCCACAGCTGGTGAGTAGGTCCAGAGGGCGAGTCCCTGAGGCCAAGGAAGGCACCAGGGGAGGGCAGGACTCCCTGCTGGATTTAGCATCTAGTAACACTGAGAACTTCCGATGGCAGTGTTGAGAGAAAACTTTACTGATTAAGCCAAGCATGTGGTCACATAGCTATACTCTCAGCGCTCAGGAGGCTGAGGCAGGAGGATCACCCTGAGTCCAAAGCCAGCCTAGGCTACCTAGTGAGTTCAAGACCATCCTGAATTACATAGTGAATGCCTGTCTCAAAAAAGAAAGAAAAACAGCCACAAAAGCCAAGAAACCCGATAAAACTTGATTGATAGGGAATCAAAAGAGAATAGGAGGAGAGAGGCGGAAGCAGAATTAAAATCTGTATCCAGACGTCGCTTCAGAGCTGTGCTCCTCCTGAAATCGGGTGCAGACTGTGTGACCCACATTGCTCTATGAAAAGGATGGTCTTTTTCTTAGGATTCTCAGATGGTTTCCTGCCCCCAGAGAGTCTAAAATGATTGTAGTATCAGTGTGTGCTCCGGGGGAAGCTAGCCAGCGTTGCATTTTGAGAGCTCTTAACCAGAAAAACAAGTTCCGTCTCTGCTGGCCCCTGCTCGCTGCCAAGGCAACAGGTATATTTAGGGTGTAGTTTCAGGCTGGATGTCCACAGGTCGCACACTGGATAAGAGAGAGGAAAATGTCGTTTTCCACAACAAGGTCTCCCAGCCAGACCCCTCCTGGAAGAGGTTGGATCTAAAGAAAAGAAATAGGCTGTTTTCGAAAATCTTAGAACTTGGATCCTAGAGAGGAGACTCAGACTCATTCATTCATTCATTCATTCATTCATTCATTCATTCAGGGGTTTTTTGAGTCTTGCTGTGTAGCCCAGGCTGGCCTCAAACTTGTGATCCTCGGCCTCCCGAGTGCTAGAACTACAGGCATGTGTCACTGTGCCTTGCTGTCCTACTCATTTTAATAGGGACAAACTGAGCCCAAGGTGCCCAAGGTGTTGGTGACAGCTTCAGCACTCGCTGCCCCAGGCCTGAGGCCGTGGTCCTCCCCACTGCAGGCACCCCACACCTGACCTCAGAGCTCTAATAAAAGATCACGCCTTCAATCCCCCAGCTCCTACATGCCTCAGGCAGTTACTGTAAGCCCTGAGAAGGCCAGGAGAACTTTGCTGTCCTGAAGTCTTCGTGGGTGGTCCTCATAGGAAATGAGATTTTAGGTTCTTTTGTTTAAAAAGTGACAGCAATACATCTATTAGCTTTCTTTAATGAGACTGCATTATATAAAGGAAGAAAGAAGGTTGCTCAAACCATTTCGTGTTTTCTAAATTATAGCACCCCTTAGGGCTTTTGGGGTTGCCACCGTTAGAGAACCTTCATAAATGTGTTTCAGGTCCTAGAAGTCACAGGAAGTGCATTTCTGTTAAGATTTTAAGGCCCGTCACTGTTTTTGATGCCCCACCAAGCTTTTCCCCTCACTTCTGGCCTCTTTCTGTTGCTCCCTCTCCCTACCAGTCACAGCCTGACCTGGAGTCTGAGGTTCCCTACACCTGGGTGAGACGGTTGCTTATAACTTGCTGTGTGATCCTAACATGTGGTGTGACCTGTGACATGGCCCAGTGTTCCCATTGATCCCATGTGCTGCCCAAGAGGCCCAGGTCTGGCCAGGGTGTGGCATAGGGCCAGGGCTGGGCCGGACAGCGGTGCACAGCTCCTCAAGCCCAGGCTTCAAGTGCAACTGTTTGGCCATCTGGGCGGCCACTGTGTGCACACAGTGGAACTGGCGGGCCAGCTTCCAGAGAACCCGCTTAGGCCGAAGAATCCACAGGGCTCCAGTTTTTTTCTCAAAGATTAAGCACAGTCATTCCACCTAAAAAAATCTTCACTGTTCTCTAATCTGTATGCCTTCAAATTAAATGTACCTCTACCCTTTGGCCAGAAATTACTCTCTGAGGAAGTCAGGATGGGGTAAAAAAAGCAAAGCCTTTTGATTTCAGCTTAATAGGGCCGGGGATATAGCTCAGTGGTGTAAGTGCCTGCCTGGCAAGTGCAAGGTCCAGAGTTCAATCCCTGGTACTGGGGGGAAAAAAAAAGACAATGATGATTTCATCTTAAATTACTGTGCTTATAACCCTGAGTGGGCCTTATGCTCCCAGAATACCTGTAAACTTGCACTTAGCAGAAGAAAACTTCGGTCTTACCGAGGAGCAGGGCTGAGCACACTAACGACCTGTCCTCGGAGCACTCGAGCAGCCCCATCAGAGCGCTGGTGCTTCGCCTGTTACTACAACTTTTTGAAATTATCTGGCAAAGTCTCATTTTTAAAACGCACTTTTATGACTAAGGTGCTCAGTAAGCAGGCTGCAAGCTGTGTGCTGTGAGCCGGCTTGGCATGCTTGCTCTACCCAGTGTTCCAGTGGGGCCGGAAGCCTGGAGCCACGGTGTCCGTCGTGTCCCAGCAAAGCCCGGACCTGCTGGCATGGCAGGAGCACGTGTTCCGGAAGTGCCGCACAGGTGGCCTGGTATTTATCTGAAGAGGCTGCCACACTCACTCTGGTAGATGAGAGCATTTTTGAGACACGAGACAGCAGTTTCTCCTGTCCTTCAGTGAGTGCGAAGCATCACAAGCTGTTCTCAGGATGTCACCTCTCAGCAGATTTGCTCACTGGTCAGAGGTGCATCTCGGAACTCAGTTTTCCATAACGTTCTTTCTTTCTTTTTCTTTTTTTTTTTTTTTTTTTTTTTTTTTTTGTGGCACCTGGGATTGAGCTTAGGCCCTTGCGCTTGCCTGGGAAGCGCTTATTCCACTGAGCCATCTCCCCAGCCCCTGACATTCTTTCTTAAAATGAAATCGAATGCATCAAGCATTGCACACAGAAGCCTTTACTTACCCTGGCTTGTGGGTTCCACATCTTTGACTCCTTTAATATGTGCCTTGTGACATGACTCGTGCAGAAAAAGAAACATCCAGCACTCTCAGTGGGCAGAGCGGACGTGCGTGTTCTCGGTGTACCGCTTTCGTTCTCTGGGGTCCTCACTGCTCCAGCTGGGTGCTCTTGACCTGCAGACCTCTGCTTGGCAGCGTGTGACTTGCCAGACAAACAAGTGCCTTGCCTGTCCCTGGGGGAGCCACACAGGGAGGGACGCAGGAGACTCCCAGAGAGCGAAGCCAGCCGGAAGCCAGGGCCTGACTTCAGGGGACACCCATGTGCTTTGGGAGCCTTTGCACCGGCCATTATGCTGGACACCCACCTGCCAACCGCCCAGCTCTGCACCAGCACAAAGCAGCACCAGGAGATGGAGGCGGGGCTGGTAGGAAGTCGGATGCCCGTCTTGGGATGCTGTCGGCACTGCCGGAGCTCTCTCCAGGCCCTGAGGCAGAGGGCCACAGAGGATGTCTCCCCTGGGGAATAGCGAGCATTCCCTGCCTCTCCACCTGGGCCTTCCTGCAGCGGGTGTCCGTGAGTTGGTGGCTGAAGCAGGGGAGGGACCAGCCAGGCAGGGACAGGCAGAGGGTTTGTGTGCGTGCCCTGTTTCCCGCCCTTGGTGTAGTTGGCTAATGTTCCACGTCAGCCTCTTGTAGCATTGTGTCCATTTCTTCCCCAAGCTGGTTTTCTTTTGTGCAGTGCCAGGGATTGAACTCAGGGCCTTAAGCATGCTGAGCGAGGACTCTACCCCTGAGCTATACTCCCAGCCTTGCAATTTTAAATTTCGAGGCAACTGAATTGCCTGTCTGGCCTCAGAACTTGTGATCCTCCTGTCTCTGCCTCTGCAGTAGCTGGGATTATTGGTGTATACCACTGCACCTGGCTCCAAAAACTAGTTTCTAAGGATACAGCAGAGAGGGTTGATGCAGCTCTGAGCCGTGCAAGTCTTGGACCTGTGTTTCCATATCAAGTAATCTTGTGGAAGGTGCGGGTGGATTGGGTGACTGGCCTGTGGTCACACTCACAGTTCTGCCTGGATGGGCCTCTCCCTGTGACCCAGGGGCATGGCTCCCTCCTTATCAGATGTGCAGTGTGAAAGCTTCCCCTTCCCTCCCGGATAGGTGCACAGCTCTTAGACGAGTGTCGAGGGCCAGTTCAGGAACACTTGGGCTGAGGGGACCTGGGCTGGGGGCCCGGGGCCAGGAGAGCCATTGACCCCCACAAGCGAGCACCTCCCTGCTCCTGGAGGGTTCCTGAGGGGCCATTCAGTTTCACTTTGAAAAGGTAGGAAGCCTGGATAAAAGCAAAAGCTCCTGCGGAAGGCGCTTCCTTGGTAGACACAGTCCCACTTCAGCTTTGGGCTGCCTTTGATCCTCTCCCTTCTCGAGTTACCTTTCTAGTCCCCCTTTAAGCCCCCTTTGAATTTTTTATTTTGAGGCAGGACCTCATTAAGTTGCCCAGCCTGGGCCCAGACCTTATCTGGGAGCCTCAGCCTCAGCCTCCTAGAGTCTTGGGATTGCAGGTTATCACCTCCCGTGCCTGGTTAACCATTGCTTTATTTTTCTTTTGAGACAGTCTTGCTATGTAGTTTGGGGGGTGCTTAAATTCACTGTGTCATCTAGGCTGGCCTCAAACGCATGATAGTCCTGCCTCAGCCTCCTGAGTGCTGGAGTTGCAGATGTGCACCTCTTGCAGCTGGCTGAGCATTGCATTTAATTGTAGATAGGGAAAAACCAACTATTTCTGAGGTGTTTCATACTGGGCTTAATTGCCTAGGATTTACCCTGAACCATGACCTGAAGTCTAATGGGCCCACACCCCTGGCCTGACACCAAGCTTTCCAAAACTGAGAATTTCCACACACTGCCCTAAAACTGGGGGACAAAACTGTGGAGGAAAACAGCTGCCCCAGGTTGTGACGAAGAGGCGAAACCTCGGGACCAAGCACGACCTGCATGATGCACAGCCTGGCTTGGTTTCCTTCCAGTCGGAGTGGTGCGGACAATGCAGGGACATGCGGGGGCACAGGCTGTGCATCGCCCAAAGCTTCCCTGCATCCATGTTCTTTTTTTTTTTTTTTTTAAATGAGCAAATACATTTATTGAAGGAAATAAAGCTCCTGTCTGAGAGAGGGACAGGAGGGGGGGCCCGAGCGGGTAGTTCCCCCTGCATCCATGTTCTGAGAAAGTACAGCTTCCCCCTGCTCATGTTCCTTGCTGATTTGTGCCCGTGTCTTCCTTTGCGTGCTGATGTGGGTTTTCTCTTTTCTTCATTGAAACAGAGTAATGGTTACGATGGAGAGTCGTACGGATCGCAGCCTGCGAGCAGAAGATCCGGCAGGGTTAGTACAGCCGGCTCGCCTGGCGCGCGCATGCAGGTCGCTTGAAAGCTGCTCGGAGTCAGTTGCTGCTAAATTTAGCTTGTTTTTATAAGAGGTCTTCTTTTTCTAGCACAGCAGTGTGAAAGATAACGTTTTCCAGCTAGCACGCATTCTCAGGGTGCCTGGCATTCTAGGTGTCAGTACTGTCAGGAGGTTCTTAAGTTTAAACCCAGGTGAAACTTTAGAGTTTAAGTCTAGCTTGAAGATGATGCCTTTCGTTGTTTTTCCGTGTGTGGACGCAGGTGTCAGGTCAGCTCATGTGCAGCAGCAGGTCAGGTCAGGCCTGAGCTTGCCGGCTCTCCAGCTCCCTCCTTGTGGTTTCAGTGTTGACCTGGAAGCTGCGCATGAAAGAGCGAGCCTGTGCTTCCCAGAGAGAACGGAAGTGTAACTATAGGAAGGGAAAGCGGGTGGCTGAGGGTGAGAATCAGGAACTGGCAGCAACAGAGAGTTGCTGTGCAGGGGGAGAGGTGGGGAGCCCTGGGTTTATGGGGCGGCTGCACCCTGGAGAGGGCAGGCTGAGCCGTCTTAGTGGGCGAAGGTCTCATTGTGCACTGTAGGTTTGTTCTAAAACCTTCCTACCCTGTCATTTCTTTTCTCTTTCACAGATACTTTTACACCATTGAATTTAACTGCTGTTCTAAAGATATTATAGAGTCACTTAAATTCTGTTCCTAGGTTTTGCATGGGTGACCCACGCCCCACCCCCCACTAAAGCAGCAACCTCGGCTTCCCAGAACTGGTTGGACGGGTTGTGTGCACCTTGCTGCCCTCCAGGACTGTGTAGGCTTTGATTGTGTTTCTTCTCCCATTCCTGGGAGCTTTTGTACCCCAGGCTTCTAGATCCTCCCAGCTGTAAGCTCCCTCCCTGTTCCCGTGACCCAGACACCTTCCAGGCTTACAGGGCAGTGCAGAGCCCGGGCAGAGGAGAGGAGCCCCGCCATCCCTGTGCACACCTGTGGGACACAAATGCAGAGTGTGCCCAGCACCAAGCAGCTGCAGCGTCCCTGTGTCACTGGAGGGGGCCGCACTGCTCCCAGTGGCCCTGGGCCACTCACAGGAGTCTCAGAGCCTGGTTTGCAGCTTTCTCCTTGGTGCGCTGCTTCACCATCACTGGTCACGAAGAATCCCAGTCTAGAGCAGGAAGTTACTGTACTTTTTTTTTGATACTATACATTCTTTCGCCAAGCTTCTGCCCAGTGACACATTCTCTAGGGTGTCCCCAATGTGTTGTCATGCACACAGTCAGGGCAGAGCAGGGTGACTTCAACCTGCGTGTCATATATATCTTGCATGTTTTTCATCTTTGATTTTTACATTAAGACAGCAAAGGTGTGCTTTATTACTTAGTTAAGATTTGTGGAAGCTACTAGAAATCCCCTATGTTCTAACACTGCTCACAGAGTGAACTTGGCAGTGAAATGGATTAAATAAATAATCAAAGACCAAGGTGACCTCTCAGTGCATAGGACATGAGCCACAGCAACTACAGCAGCATGTGAGGCAGAGCCCCTGTGGGGAATGGGAGGCCTCCCTCGAAGGCCTGGGCTGCCAGAAGGGCTGGGGGATAGAGGACCCCGCTGGGCTCTGCAGCGCCATCTTGCATCTCACCCGCAGCCTCACACGGGCCAGTGCCGGCAGTCCACTTCTGTGGGTCAGTGCTAATGCTTTACATGGGAGGGCCGGCATCCTTCCATGACAGCTCTTGGCTGGCAGGCAGGCTTCAGGGCTAAGCTACAGCCCTCAGGCATTGGGGACTGAAGAGAGGTGGGAAAATTTGAAATAAACAGCATTTAATTATCTGAGCATATGCAGGGTGGAAAGCAGAAGCCAGAAAGTCATTGTGGGGGTAGGTGAGCCACCCCTACAGTGAGCCACGCAGTCACCCCGGGACAGCACCAGAATGTGAAATACTGTGGGACGCTCGCCTTGGGAGCTGCCACCATGCTGGTCCCCACTCCTCTCGAGCCACTCAGGCCCCCTCTGGAGGCCGGGCTCATCTGCACCTCGCAGGTGGGCAGGCAGTGCTGTGGGGATCACCGCCGACCATTGTCTTCTTTCTTGGTGCTCAGAACTCCAGCTACAGCGGGGACGGCAGATTCTCCACATTGTCGTCTCCCAGAGAAGAGAAGTTGGTTGGTTTGCATTTAATTCTTTCCATCCTGTCTTCAGAAACTACAGGTTCTGGAGCATGCAGGCATGCACACCCTTTTGTGTGTGTGTGTGTGTGTGTGTGTGTGTGTGTGTGTGTGTGTGTGTAGCTCAGCTCGCCCTTTCTCTCCCACTCCGTCTCACCAGTTTCCTGTGGGGTAAGTGCTTTGTGACGTCACTAACCTGAGCCTTCCCGTTCAGATTCTTCCCTGTCCTGCTTTCCACACCAACTGTGGGACTCAATTGCCTGCACTAAAGAACATACTTACGTGTAGATTTGTTCATTTGTTTGAGGCAAGGTCTCACGATGCAGTTCACGTCACTTTTAGCTTGCTGTGTACCCCAGGCTGGCCTTGAGCCCTCGGTGATCCTCCTGCCTCAACCCCCAAGTTCTAGGGTTACAGGTATGGGCCACTACACCCAGCTTAGATTTTAAAAATTAGAGTTAATTAAAAAAAAAAACCAAAACACCTTAGCTTTCTTTCCTGGAGAGTTTGTTCGTGCTCACATGTGCAGGGCCCTGGCGGCCCTGGCATGAAGATCCAGTCTAGTCTGGGCGCGCACACAGCAGAGCACTCAGGGTCCCGACGCTGATTCCAAGTCTCTGAGGAGCATGTGGCCGAGCTTGTGCATCAGGCCCAGACCTCTTCACTCAGCCAAACCATGAAGTCGTGGAGGTGGGAAAAGATCAGGGGCCCAGGTCATGGAGGGGGCCAGTCTGGGTGCCACCCAAGTGGAGGAGTAGACAGGAGGGTTGGTCCTGACCAAGTGCACCAGGCTCAGGCAGATGGGGAAAGGAAACCAGAAAGAGCCAGATCCAGAGCTCAGGAGACCCTGGGGTCGCTGTACTTAGTGACCCCGACACCCACTCCCCAGAGTCAGAGAACAGAAGGAAGTCAGAACCCCTGATACCTCTCCTGATCTCTACGTAACCTTTGGCCTCATTAGACTGTTTCTAGTCAGTCAGCCCTGGCCCCATGTTCCCCCCAGATCCCCCCCCCCTTTCTGCCACAGTAGTTAGCCCTAGTCCCTTCGATCTCATCCTGCCGCCTCCCCCCTGCCAACGGGTTCCTGGTGTGGTCCTCCTTCATCCCTTGCACGCATGTGCCCACTTTGCAGATTCTTCCTGCTGCTCCAGCCCCCACCCCTCTCCTAGGGGTGACTCCCAGTGGCGTTCTCACTAAGTGCCAAGTTAATCAAGGAGGTTTTGCTGTCTCAGAGAGCGCTTGAACATTCAGAAAACTGGTTCTTCCTTGTTTCCACTGAATGGAGATGTTTGCCTAAAGCAGGACACAGAGCCAGCCTTTAGCTTGTGCGAGAGCTGTCCCCCAGTCCAGCCTATATCCAGCTTCACTGCAGTCCACTGAACAGAGCTAACAAACTTCCAGGGCAAGGTCCCAGTGAGGGCTAAGCCTTCAGACCCAGCAGTCAGGATTCAGGCCTGGGGGCCCCTCTGCACCCTGACCCCTCTTTCTACCTGAGGCACCTGTCTGACATCTGTGCCTTGTGGGTTCTTACCTCTGCCTACAGCGCACACCTGGCTCTTTGGATTTGGTTACAACACAGACAGGCATCAAGGAGGACCTGGTGTCTGGGTTACTGGCTAGCTTTTCTGGTCTTCCAGCTGGGCCAGAGGCAGACCCTGGCCTGGTGCCGCAGCTCTGGTTGCTGGCTGCAGCTGTGTGTCCTCTTCAGGAGAGGAGCAGGTTCCACAGAAATGGGTACTGTGTCTGCTTTGCTCATTGGAAGTTCCCCCAGGCACCCAGAATCCCCCCTTCTCCCCTTGGGGCACAAGCTACAGGGCCTGAAGGGTGCTGGGTGCTGTAAGAGTGGTAGGGCACCAGTTTTGCCCAGAAGACCCTTGGATTTGTGTAAATCATTTTATCTGGGGAAACTGTTAACTCACACAGTGGAATTCCCCACACCACTGTATCAGAATCGCTGTGCTCAGTTTACTGCTGTGAAGCCTGAGTCTGCTCTTGAGCAAACGCCCCTGTAGGGGGCCTGCAGGAAACGTCACCAAAGAATTTTTCTGTAGCCGGGCATGGTGACTTGCATGCCCATAACCCCAGCACTCAGGAGGTTGAGACAGGAGGATCGCTTTGAGTTCAAGACCAGCCTGGTCTATGTAGTGAGTTCAAGGCAACCTGAACTACATAGTGAGAACTTGTATAAAAAAAAAAAAAAAAAAAAAAGCTGGCCAAATAGCTCAGGATTAAAGCACCTGTAAGCAGGCACAGGGGCCAGGGGTTCAATCCCCAGGCCTGCCATGGTGGTGTGGGCCTGTAATCCCAGCTCTTGGGAGGCTGTAAACAGGCGGATCACTATGAGTCTGATCTGGTGGATCACTACGAGTCTGATCTAGTAATGAGACCCCAAACACTCTGTAGATCCTTCACTAAAATACAAAAAAAAAAAAAAAAAAGAATTTTACTGTATAAGTAGAGATTGATGTATCTGCAGATTCCTGACTTAGTTTTTCCCCATCAAATTTTAATAATTAGAACTTGGGTCACAAAGACCAAAATCTAAACATGATTGATAACAATGAAAATGGAGTTTTAAGCTGGCTATAGTGACCCATGCTTATAAGCCCAGCAGCGTCCAGGAGGCTGAGGCAGGAGGGTTGCCATTAAGCTTAAGGCCGGCCTGCATTACATAGCAAGACCTTGTTTCAAAAAGCCAAAATAAATAAATGTAGTTTTTCTTTCTGTGTATAGATTTTAAAACCCTAATTGATCCCCGTGGCTTAGCAGCTAACTGGCCCCCCTGGTTCCTTCCTCCACCCCATAATTACTGGCATAAGGGGAAATCTGTCTGAGTTGACAGTGTCCAGGGACCTTCGCGAGGAAGGGAAGGTGTAGCTGTTCCCCCACTTGCCCTCCCTCCTGCTTCCTCGGATTCCAGGGACTCTCCTGCCCCAGCCTCCTCGTGCATGCTCCCCAGGCCAGCCCTGCTCCCACACCTGCCTGCCCAGCGTGGAAGCTGGGTCTGTCCCCTCCCATTCTGCCCCTTCCAGGTGGCTCTTCCACAGAGCTCATGAGTGGGGACTTAAGCCTCCTCTGCACGGTGTCCACCTCCCTTTGCTGGTGTCCAGTTGGTGACCAGTTTGCTGAGAACATGTCTCTGGCTTTAAAACCTAAAATAACTCAGGACCTAATATAGAAAAGTGGACCTTCGGGGAGGAGCACTGAGTGTATTTTCAAGAGCTCCAGTCCAGAAAATTGGTCTCTTGGGTCTTTCTGTTTCCACCAATTGTCCCCCATTTGGACTTTTAGGTTGTTTTTTGAAAAAAATATTTTTCTTTGGTCAGTGTGTCCAGGAAGCCACTTGGAAGGTCTCTGCGTACTCTCTGCTCCGTGGACTGCAGAGGCAGAGCTAGCCTTCTACTTTGGCTTTCTGTTTCCTGTTTTCACAAGGCCTGTGTTCAGGTCTGGCCCTGGCTGCGTGGCCTTTGTTGCCGCAGGTGCCAGGTCTGCTCCCACATGGGAAGTGGGCACCTCATCTGGTGTACTCCGTGTACTGGAGGTTGACCTGCCCTCTTCACATGCACACAGGAGCTGCTGTGTCCCCGTCCCCCCCCACCCCCGGCCATGCACCTTCCTGCCTCTGTGTGCCTGGGAGGGCCTGAGAGCAGGTCCTGGCTGCCGTGAAGCAGAGCCCGCGTACCCCTCAAGCTGCCTGGTGCCCCAGCATGTCTACTTCACTGTGTCACCATGACATACATTCTGAGCCTGGGCGTCCCTTTCACAGGATTGGGCTGCTGGAAGTGCCAGGCTGGTCCCGGAGCCCACCTCCAGGCCCGCTGTGTCTGTGCCTGTTTCTGACCTTGGAGGGCAGGCGCACTCTCCACACGTGGGTTTCTGTAGTCATCCTTGGTATCTGAGGGGGCCTGGCTTCCAGGACCCTGGGGAAGCTGGAGTGCGCAGTGGTTCCAGTCACCCCATAAATGCTGTTATGTATGAGGACCTAGTGCAGTGGTGGAGTCTGTGGCAGGCATGCCACTGTGGCCCTGAAAACTCTTAAAGGCTCGCTGTCACTGCCTCGCTGGCATGCTATCCTCGCATCCTCCCTCGGTGATCCTGGGGACAGCGCAAGAGCCTGCAGGTGCTTAGAGTGCCGAGCTGTTGGGAAATGAGGACAGAAGGAAGCTGACTAGGAAGCACAGCAGGCGATTTTCTAGTATTTTCCACCCTGAGGAGGTTGGGCACTGAGACAGGAACCTGCAGATACCACCATGGGCAGCTGTACCAAAGCCCACACCATCCCCATCTTGGGTTTTGAGTTAGGCTGTGTCGCTGTTGCTGCTGCTGTTGGCCCCATAACAGTTCTAGCCCCACACCCCACACCCCTTTCTAGGACTGCCTGAAAAGAATTGCCTAGAAAGTTTACTGTGTCAAACATTGTCTTCTGTGCCTCTGTCTTGTAAACGTGGGCTCTGTACCTACCGGGCTTCCTGAAAATACAGTGCCTGGCTTGGTCCTTCCTGTTCTGTCTGTTGGCACCGCTCAGCTGTTGGGACAACACAAGGCTGTTTGTCCTCCCCTTTGAAAACTTGCTTTTGCTTCCTTCCTGCAGCCCTCCTGTCTGTGTAGCGTGGCCAGGCCTGCGGGGAGTTACCTGGTGCGTGGGCCCCAGCCCAGCCTGTGCATGCGCCCTCCACCCCCCATCTGGTCCTGCTATGGATGTCACTTCCCCTGGAGCTTGCATTGCCCGTGGTGCTGTCAGCCCTCTGGCCAGGTCTGGGTTTGGGGTTGTCACACGGCCACCTGTCCAGTGAGACTCACTTGTACAGAGCCCTGAGTCTGGGCATCCGGAGCAAGGGCAGCTTGCACTTTCTTTGCTGGCAGAAAGACCGCTCTTGGGTGCCCTGGCACTGGGCAGATTCCAGCCTGCATTGCTGTTACTCTGGAAATTTCCAGCTTTACATGTGGGCACTTAGTGCACTGCAGGAAGCTTCAGCTAAGTATCAGGGTAACCCTGTTGCTCCATGGAACAGTGCTTGCAGCAGATCATAGGCTTACAAGTGAGAGGTGTGCATGGCTTTATTGTGCCTGCCGAGGGACATGGGGAGCTAAGGCTCCATTAACCTGGGCGGAGCTCACCAGCGCCCATCACAGTGCTGTAAGCTCCTGTGTCTGTGATTAACTACATAGGATTTTAAGGGTAACCAGGCGTTCTGCCTGCAGCTTCGCTACTTTTAGAGTTCCACACTTCAACATTACAACTATACTAACAGGATCTAATATTTTATTTTGAAGTCACGTGACATGCTTTAACTCCACGAGCTCAAGGGTGCTGCCTGGTCTGCTGCTGGAATCTGGATTAACACGTTTCTCCTTAGCGTGGATTGCTTTTCAAATACAGATTTAGTGGTGCAGTGGAGATTAAACTGCATGAAGACTGACAGTGCCTGGAGTTTGTGCACATCCCTGGGTCTCCACTGAGGAGCTAGAGGAGGGGCATCCAGCCTCCCTGCAGTGTCCCCCCGGACTAGCCTCAGCATGTGTCACCCTGGTCACCTTGCATGTTCCTGGGCTGGCAGGAGGAAGGTACCATCCTGAGGTCTCTTTCTGTCGCAGGCATCTGTGTTTCCAGAGAGCAGCGTTGACCTGGCTCGGCGGGGTAGTGCCTGCGGCTCCATGGCTGTAAGGCACTTCCGACTTTTCTGCCCCCCTTTCATCCTGTGCTACCGCTGCTACATGGCCCTGGGGTGCTTTCAGGGTACAGGTCCAGTGTGGAGGGGGACATAGGGTCCCGCCTTGGTTTGCAGTGGGATTGATGGTTGTGGGTCATCGTTCTTCAGTTATTGGGAGCAAAGGAGGCCGACCCTGACCCAGCTGCCTCCACCCTCTCCCCTGCAGGGCACAAACAGCAGTAATGCAGGGGTTCTCAAGTTGATAGAAGGGCAGTCCAACAGGCTGCTGCCGATTTTGCCTCAGAGTAGTGGAAGGTGATGAACAGGCTTGAGGACTCAGAGCAGGATGCATATTTCACTTCCTAATGCTCTTTGGGGGCCTTCCTGCCTCCATCAGTGGATTTGAAATGATGGCTGGGGCTATCACAGCTGTAGGTGGAGGTCTGTCTGTGATGATGGGAGACGCAGCCCACGCGAAGATGAGAAGAGTGGGGTGTGGGGTTCCTGGAGGTGGGGAAGTGCCCAGCCCCCAACACCTCTACTTCCCCTCACGGAGGGGGGGGGAGTGGGACTCCCACTGTTACAGCTCCTGCACAGACCCCACAAGATTCCCCCAAGTGCTCCATAGGACAGGATGGGTGACTTATAGAGACCGCTTGACATGCAGCTGTGGTTTTGCTCCTGAGGTTCACCAGCTGTTGGGCTGGGGTGGGTCAGTTTTGGAGCTCGCCTGGCAAGCAAGGTCCTGGGTGTGATCCCCAGCAGGAAAGAGGAGGGGCTGCTGCATTAACTGAGCCAGGGCCCTGCTTCATTGTGCTACTTCGCCAGGCTATTCCTAATCCTCATGAAGAAAGCCAGTCAAGCCAGCGGCCTTCTTCACATGCCATTTTTAGCAGTCTTCAGCCTGATACGCAGTGACCAGCACCCTTGGTTGTTGACGTGTGCACTGGTCAGGTTTGGTATTGCCTAAGTTGTTCGGAGCGGAGAGCCCACTGGGGTAGATATCTTCCCAGTTCTATTTTTGGTGTTAGGAGCTGAGACCCAGGCCTGTGGGATAAAATTGTCCTGCATAAAGTGGAACAAAATGATTTTCTTCTATCAGAAAAGAAGAAGCACCTGCACTCCATTACAGAAAGAAACTGCCCACCTACTAGGTAGTTTTCCTGTGCTCTAAAGTCCAGTAGAGCCAGGTGTGGTGGTGCATGGCTTTAATCTCATGCACCTTTGGTGGGGCTGAGGCAGGAGGATTGCATCAAACTGGAGGCCAGCCTGGCTAACTCGAGTTCAGGGTCAGCCTGGACTACATAATGAGACCCTGTCTCAAAAAAAACAAAGCATTTTCAACTGTCCGAGGCCTCATCTTCCTCCTGGAATTCATCAGAATGAAAACAGACAGGGGCTCTATCCTAGCAGGTGAAAGGACGACAACAGAGGAACAGAACTGGAGGAGACCATGGCTTGGTAATCTAGGTTCCCTGTCACGTATAACAGAGTTGATGTGTGCCGGCCTAGGGCAGAGCACACAGGACAGGTGGCCTCAGAGCAGGGCCTTCAGGCAGCGTTCCCGTTACAGGTGTGCGGGTCTCTCCAGGGGCTACCCTTGGGGCCTGTTGGGCTCTGCTCCAAGCCCTTGACCTTAAGTGGTAGCTCATTCCTGCCTCTGCCCACCCTGTCTTGCTTACAAGAAAGCAGTGGTGTTTCTATAAGGGGAAAATGTTTTGAGGACTGGAAGGGAAGTGGTGTGAGTCCAAGCTAAGTGGCTGATCCTAGGACAGTGTGGCCCAGGCCTTGCCCTTTCCTGGAAGCGTGGTGGTACAGGTAGATGGGCAGACAGATGGACTGGGTACTAGCCCCCAGGGGGGAACCCCATGGATCATTTAAAAAAAGCCGTGTGAGATTCTGAGTTAACCCTAAATCTTTCTTGTTTCTGCTTGGTAAGACAGGAGACATGCAGAACTTTTCCCTTGAGTAAACACCACCAAGCCCTCTGTCCTCTTCAGTTTCTGAGCAATTTCACTTGTCGAAAGGTTTCAGCAAGCTGGTTGTAGTGGTGCATGCTTGTCATCCCAGGGCTCAGGAAACTAAGGCAGGAGGATTGCTGTGAGTTCCAGGACAGCCTGAACTACAGTGCGAGACCCTGTCTTCAAAATGAACAAAACAAGGAAGGTGTGATGCAAGCTCCTTTGGGTGGGATGCACGCTTTATCTTCTTCCTAACTTTGTCCTTTAGCTTTTCAGGGAGATTCTTTTCTATTTGGGGTGGGGTGCTTACTGGGCTCATGGCAGATTCGGGCTCCCTCTCACCCTAATCTCTCTTCCACTCACCCCTGTGCTAATGGGCATACCTTGGCTCACTCCTGGCCACTGCTTCGCTGACCTGTGCTGTGTCCATCTGTCCATCTGCCGCACCCACAGCAGCCTGCGGAGCACAGCAGCCACCTCAACTCCAGCTCCCGCGCCTCCTCCAGGGCCAGCTCGGCGCGTGCCAGCCCGGTGGTAAGTCCGCCTCGGCCCATGCC